TAGTGTGACTTAACAATATTAGGGACGTTTAGTCTGTGGGGTAACCGCGTTGACTGTGAAACTGGATAAACACGATTCGAAGCCCATCGAGATCGCTGATATGTTCATGAGAATGAGTCGAATCCGCCCTTCTACTTATCTGGCAAGAGGAATTTTAATTCAAACTAAGACCTATCGATTCCTATAAAACTATGCGACAAATATAAAATAAATAATAACTATTAAATAAATAATAGTAATAATAACAAAAATAATAAAATAAAATAAAGTGCTTAAGGATAGGTCTAAATAACTAGCCAAAATTCCTCATAATTTTGCCCAGATATAAATGAGACGCATTACACATTTTGGAGTCAAGCCTCAACTTCATGCAGGATTTGTGTTCTTTAGGATTTCGCCACGAAGTTCAGTACCAAAGAGTAAGAATATAGACAGAAATGGAAAGAACAAAGTTGTATTAGTTTGCATTATCTTCGGGGAAAAGGCCCTGGTACCCTCTACTTTTGATAAGACAAAGTACATCAATATGCTGAAATGAAAACTCAAGTTACGCCGCTTTGCTATCCTATAAGTCTTGGATTCCAGCAGCAAGCCCGCGTTTTGATTAAGCTACAACATACCGTGTGGTTAAACCTGCAAGTATGTGCAAACCATAGCTTGTCTGATAAAACGGAATATTTTGGGATGACGATCTTGTAAGTGTCAAGGTATTTCGTTTTAACTTTAGTGGTGTAACATTCAGCATTTGGAGATTGATGCCATCGTTAATTGATCCGTCTTTGATGAATCGAAGAGAAGGCTAGCCTGTGCCGGAATGTCAAGCTCGGGTCTTGACGGGAGCCAGACTCAGGGAATAAAAATCTTGTATATATGAACAAAATTCGTTCATTGAATCCTTTGTTTTACAAGTGTTATGCTCATTTCGATTTAGAGTAAAAGTATGATACATAGGTCGGTCTCCCGGGAGACGATTTCGGATTCCTCTTGGCCAACTGTTGTTCTGGAACGTCTCGTTGACTCGATCTCCGGAGGGACCTCTTTCAATTCCAGCTTTCCTGATCCAGAAGAAGTTGTAAGAACGGTACTAAGCTGGAGGTAAGTCTATAAAGCGGAATGAGATACTGGGTCCCAGTAACTAAATTATACCAGACCGAAAGAAAGCCGCGGTCGGCCTCTAATGGACTATACCCATACAAATCTCTTTATTACACTTTCACTAGAATCTCCCGGAATTAGGGCTTATTAGGGAAGTGGGTTGACCTCGTTGTCGCAACTTGGTCTTGTTGTCAGGGCGACTTAGTAGAACGCACCTAGTC